GGCCACCACAATATCAGATGCAAACTTATTAAGAAACACATTTCAGACATTTGGCAAATATTTGCCAAGTATTTATTGAGTGATAACTACATAGTAGGCACTGTTCTAGACTCAGAGAAAAGAGCAGTGAAGTAAACAAATCCGTCATAAGGCAGTTATGTTTTTAGAAAGCGAGAGAGCAAATATGTAAAATATTTATATAATAAGTTAATTGGTGGTAAGTGCTATGTAGAAAGATAAAACAGGTAAAGAGGTTAGAAAGGGCACATGTATTTGGAGAGGGAGTTTTTTATATACAGGGAGTTCAGGGAAGGACATACTGAGGATGTGATATTTGAGGATCAACTTAAAGGAGGTGAGGTGGGTAGTCTGGAGGGTCCATGGGGAGAACTTCCCTGTAAAGGAGCAGCAGACCTTGAGGAGGGAGGAAGTTGAATGTGTCCTAGTTGGAGCAGGAGCAGAGTGAAAGGGAGATGAGGTCAGAGTGGTAAGGACTTGCTTTCCCTGGGGTGATACAAGTAGTCCTTGGAATGAAAGATTTAGGTTTGTTTTCACTTACATTTAACTTGGTTTGACCTTAAGTTTCTCCGTTTTTGTGCCCATCCCATACGTGTATCCTCTTTATGGACTTTTTCTTGACCCTCAATTTTTGTTACTCCAAGCACTGGGATTGACCTCCATCTTGCAGCTTTTTCACACAGGGCTTTCTCGTCACCCTCTTGGGATAGCACATTTTGCTTCTCCCGAATAGTCCTGCTGCTTCTCCTAGGACAGTTCTCAGCTCTTCAGAGAAGCCTCTTGAGGGTTTAAGCTCTTCACTCCACCACACCTCCTCCCTCCTCTGGCTGTTATCTGGTTGCCTTCTAGTTATGTGCTAACGTTAATTGAAGACAGTTGTCACCTGGGTCTTCCTCTTCTCCAGAGAACTGCCAGTACCATGGGAAAATCCAGGGGCTGCCTGGCAGGTGCCCTGCTTTGTAGTTCTTTGATCCCAATATCTGACACATTTCCCTTGTTTAGTTCAGCCACCTGTGCCCACAGCCGCAGCATGCACCTCATCTTGCCTCAGCCTTTGCCCATTTCGGAAGTGCTAATCTCTCAATAGTGTGGAAAGAGGTGGGACGTGAATAAATGCATTTGTATCTACAGCCTGCCTCCAATCGAGCGATGTTCCCACTCTCACCCTTGCCATACTACACCTTGGCCTCCAGGGGGAGCTCACACTCCCAGTCCTGAGACCTTGGAGGATGGACCTCCTTGGACCATGGAGCTCTGGGTTACAGTACTAGGGAGAAGCAGTGGTTGAGTATGTGGGTAATGGAGTCAGACACAATTGTTCAAATACCATTTCTTCCGCTTCCTAACTGTATAACACTGGGCAAGCTGCTCATGTTCTCTGAGCCTCACTTATCAAATGAGGATGAACAGGCACACCTCACAGCCTACGTGAGGAATAAATGACTTAGTGTAAATGGAATAATCAGTAGAGAGGTAACTAATAAAGGGAAACCAGTTAGATGTTTCTTCTTTGAGACAAGTGAAGAGGTTAAAGGCTGTTGTTCCATGGGGTGGTCTCATATATTTCTTGAAACTAGAAGGAATGTAAACTTTTGAAAAGCTTCTGTGTCATTGCCACACAGCTGTGTGAAAGTATCTGGCTCTTGCCTCTGCCTCTGTTGCCCCACTTCTGCCTCCCCCCCCAGGTGGAGCAGGACTCAGGATGGGGTCCCGGAGGAAGACAGGGGGAGCAGGTGGCTTTTGCAGGCCTCCCTAGGAAATGAGACATTCTCCTCTTCTTGGGCTCTTTGAACAGGGAAGATGTATGTAATACATGTTTTCTTTTTTGTGTACATACGTAGCTCATTTCTGGAGAGTGCCGTAGAGGAAGTTATTGCTTCAGAAACATTTAAAACAGTGACTTTTTCTGTTTTCACTTATTGATCACAAAAAGGTGTGAAAAAGATGGTTTCTTTCATAGCAGCCTGCCAGATTTCTTTAAGGGGCTGGAGCAGGGCTAATTGCTCCCTCTCTTAATCACTGCACGTTCATCCCTCAACCCGCTACACGCTGCTTTCTTTAGTCACCATTCCACGGAATCTGCTGTCCAGGCCCCTGGTGAGGAACCTGGAGCAGGGAGGAGGGGACCTGGTGCTGAAGGGGTGTGGTATGAGCATATCCAGAACCCATGCATAAATGTGGACATCCAAAATACAAGGAGTGAGTTTGGACAGTCATTAATAATATGAGCTACAAAAGGAAATGAGTGCAGAAATAATTATTGAAACAGAGGGCATGTAACATAACTCATATAGACAAGGACAAAAAGCAAAGGAAACCCTAAGAGAGCTTTTTAAAAAAACTCCAGCTTAAAACATGTTTACAGAAGTGAGATAAAGTAAACCAGTTATGAAAGTAAATGTAAATGTTTTTTAAAATCCATTTAGAAGATGTTTAGAATAGATACACCTGAAACAAAAGAATTTAAAAGTAAAAAAGATGGGGAAAATTTTTATCAATAAAACAAACAAAATATCAGGATGGCATACAACTTAATTTTTAGTAAAAAAGAAGAATTTGATGCAAAATGCAATCAAGGTGTCCAAAAGGGACATTTTTTTTCTATGTTAAATAAAAAGCGCAATTACTAGTGAACATTACATATGCTTCTCTGTGCTAAGTAACGTAACATCAAAATATTAAGCAAAGTACCCCATGCAGTTTTACTCCTGGATACATTCCAACAGATGTGTATATTTCTGTACTAGAATGTCTGTAGCAGCACTTTCCATAATCCACTTTCCCACATCAAAACTACCCAAATGACTATCACCAATAGAATGGATAAATAAATTGTAAAACCCTCACCCAATGGACTACTATACAGCAGGGAAAACAAATGTTCTGCATACAGCAATCTACGTGAACCTCACAGAGTGCTGAGCAAAAACTGTCTACCACAAATGAGCACATACCATATGATTCCATTTATACAAAGGAAAAAATGGAACAAGTAGAACTAATCTTAGGGGATAAGAGTTTCTCTTTGCAGAGAGGGGGCAGTGACTGGAAGGGAGCACAATGGGGAGGGGGTGTCCTGGGTTCTGGTTATACAGCTATGCTAATTTTTTGAATAATTTTCAAGCTGTTTACTTGATTTGTATATTTTTCTTTAAATATATTTTAGTAAGAAGTTTAAATATGAAGAAAAAATTATCAGAGATACCAGAACACTGTACAGAAAAACTATTTTAGATATTTTAGCATATTGCTTCAGGCTTTTTACTTAAAGAATAAACAGATTTTTGAATAATACAGCTCTTTATATTGAATTAATGCATACTGATATTATACCTTAAAACATATGTATGTATATGTATATACTTAAAAAAAATTTTGACCATTGATCCTATATTAGGCCAAAAAGAAATCCTAAAGTCTCCAAACAGGAATTGTACAGACCATGTGACATTCTGAAACTGCCATGTGCTAAACTAGATACTATTATTAATATTTTAAACAACTACAAAAATTAGCCATTTGAGATATCTCTTAAATAAATATTTGGCCAGTGACTAAATGAAGGTGACAATTATAGATTGTAATAATAATTGTTTTTGAGAAAATAAAGGTGAGAAAAATAAATATGTCATAAAGGTTTGTCCAGGTGTCTAAAGCTGTATTCAGGGGCAACAATGGTTAAGTTCATAGTCTTTTTTTAAAATTATTTTTATTAACATAATGTATTATTTGTTTCAGGGTTACAGGTCTGTGATTCATCAGTCTTACACAATTCACAGCGCTCCCCGTAGTTCATACCCTCCGCAATTCCATCACCCAGCCACCCCATCCTTCCCACCCCCCTCCACTCCAGCAACCCTCAGTTTATTTCCTGAGATTAAGAGTCTCTTATGGTTTGTCTCCCTCTCTGGTTTCATCTTGTTTCATTTTTCCCTCCCTTCCCCTATGATCCTCTGTCTTGTTTCTCAAATTCTTCATATCAGTGAGATCATATGATATTTATCTTTCTCTGATTGACTTATTTCGCTTAGCATAATACCCTCTAGTTCCATCCACATCGTTGCAAATGGCAAGATTTCATTTTTTTGATGGCTGCATAATATTCCAATTGTATGTATATACCACATCTTCTTTGTCCATTCATCTGTTGATGGACATCTAGGCTCTTTCCATAGTTTGGCTGTAGGTTCATAGTTTTGAATGCTTCTATTATTTAAAAAATGAAAATAAATTAATTTTCTTTATAATTCAATTTGACAAGTAAAAACAAACCTAAGGGAAATATGAGTAAAGTAATAAGAGTAAAAGCAGCAGATGAAATAATTAGAAAAGAGAAACGAATACAGTAGAGCTGATGAATAAATCTAAGTACTTATTCCTTTAAAGGAAAAAGAAAACAGCACAATAATAGGTAATGTAATGTAATTAGGAATAAGATAACATAAATGTAAAGAGAAACAAGAAACCCAATTAGAATTTTTTTTAAACATAGAGTGCTTTATGCCATGTTATACCAATACTTATTTTTAAATTGCAATTATAAATGGCAAACCTGGGAAATTGCAATTACAGAGATGTAATTAAGAGAATAAAACCCTAATAGAGGCAACAGTATTGGAGGAATTAGAAAGATTACCAGTTCACTGTCTGAGGTCAGACAGTGATTTTGAGTTTTTTTCAAACTTCTAAGGAGGCCTTCTGGGTGTAACCTGGCTCTGCCAAGTATGCACAGCACCATTTGACCTTGGCCTTGTTGAGTGAATGAATATGAGCCAATGAATGAGTGCTCTCTTGCCTTAGTGGGGATGAAAGAGCCCTCTCAGAGGTTAAAATAGACAAGTAAGGTAATGTAGGTGAGGTTCTTAGCATAGGGGCTATTAAATAGTGAGCATTCAGTTAACAGTAGGTCAGATGTCTTAGAGTCCATGGGAATCAAAATGTCAATGAATAATCTTTAGATATGTATATATATATATTTTCAGGTTATCCTGATCCAGAAAATTTTTCCTGGACAGAATATCTGGAAGCTACTCAAACTAATGCCGTTCCTGCCAAAGTTTTTAAAATGGTAAGTTTGTATCTGAATACACTCTCACCTTTAAGCAATGTACATGTTGACTTCATTTGACAGGTTTAAATTATTCTAGATTTTTCTTCTTCTTTTTTTTTTTTTTTAAAGATTTTATTTATTTATTCATGAGAGACAGAGACAGAGAGGCAGAGGGAGAAGCAGGCTCCCAAGGAGCAGGGAGCCCAATGCGGGACTTGATCCCAGGACGCTGGGATCAT